ATTCCTGTTCCCTAAGTCTCCTTTCTGACTCGGAGGGTATGTATCGCAAGACGCTGGGATCACATCGTGGCCGCCTGCTATTAAGAAACATTTACCACTGGCGCTTCCTTCTCTCCGTTGATCCCCAGAGGTGTCGCATGTCAAGAACATCACCAGTCGGCTGCGACCGCAGGCTAAGCGGGCTTGGAAGGTTTATGAAATTTACATTTTTCTGGCGTGGTATTTACGCTACGAAGGAATTTACTTCTCCGCAAGCTTTAAAAATGACTTTCAGACTGCTGCCTTGAATTTCCTTGACACAAGATTAATAATAATACACGGAGAGTCCCAGTTATCTTAAGAAAAGCAGGTTAATTTTTATATCAGAGGCACAGAACGTTGAGGAGGGCTCTTTGTGAATGGTGCAGCTTTGGACTTGACGAGCTTTTGAAAGCCGTCAACTCAAAGTTATTTTTTTTCCTTTTGCTGAATAGCCCATCTATTTCTATTATTTCATTTAATTGGTTTTATTTCATTTTGTCTCACTGGTTTGATGAAGAGCAGGATTTGCCTGGACGACAGCGCACAGCAAATGTGATTAATGAGAGATATCAAAAAACCACTGCATTTCTTAAGTAAAAGCATGAGAAAAATTTAGGGCAATCTGAGCTAATTAAAACTAATCGTTGTTATACAGTGTGCGGATTTTAATTTAAAAATTGGGAGATTTTAAGCTCTTCTGTGCAAATGAACTCAATGCTCAGTGTGCTCTTGGCACCGTGATAAACTGAATCGTGAACATTATCGCAGAATTTTATAATAGCGGGTGAAATTTGGAGACCTGAAAAGATCTTGATTTCTCATCTACAAAATGCTGAATGCTTATACTAGCAGCTTCAATTTACCCAAATCATTACCTTTCCTTATAAATGCATTTACAATTTAAAAAAAAACACAAAACACACAAATGATAAGAAGGAATTGAATGGATAATTTCTTTTCAGATCTGAAATTCATTGATTCTCTATAAGCTGTTCATTAATGGAATTATATAGTGGAAATTCTGAGAAAATGAACAGATACATTGAATAAATTGAGTAGGTTGAGAACATAATTCACACAAACTGTATTATATGAATGTAAATAGATATAAAACTATTCAGTGTCAAAGATGTATGACTCCAATGCTACAGGGATTATTAGATGTTTTTCTTCTTCATAAAAGATTTCTCTAGTTGTAACCTCAGGGCAAGGGCCCTAAGGGCTAATGATTTAATCAAGTAAAACATTTCTGAGCCTGAGATGACAGTCTCAGTTAAATACACTGCACTGTGCATCTGGATGCTCTAATTGCTCTAGTGAGCATCTTTCATTTTCTTCCCGAAGTGAGGGAGCGAATGTTCACCTTGCACCTGCTCTGGGCTCTGTGTTTCGTGGTGCATTTCACATCCTCTGATGCCACTGACCCTCCCCCGGGGTAAAGTTGAGGTCCTGGCCACACGGAGGCAGAGATGGCTCCTGGCAGAAGGGGCACTCACTGCCCACCAGAGAGATTTTGGAAGTTGGTGGGTCTGTTTTTGGTTTTCATAATGACTTGGGGGGAAAAGTGGCATTTAGTGGTCGGGGACATGGTCGCTGGGTGACCTGCCTGCTCCAGCAAAACCCTCACACTGCAGAATTGCTCTGCTGGACATTCATGTAGGTGAAAAACACCTATGTAATTATTTGAGCCAAGAACTAAGTCCATTTTAAAAAATAAACATAAATTATTTTTCCCCACAGCTGTGGGGTACTTAGAATCTTCTAGGAATTCAACAGCCCAGTACATCTAGAGAAGTGTGTTCTTTGTTTTGTTCAGAATTTTGTCGAGAGCGTCCTTTTACAAAATCATGCTACTGGTGGTAACACCTCGCAGGCACTTGAAGCTCCACCGGACACATTGGCATCGGTTGTAGCCAGGCTGGCGTTGACCTTGAGCCTCTGTGGTGCAGGCATGGAGGTTTCTCACAGCTTCTAGAGCAGTTGCCCAAGCATCTCCATATTGAAACATATTTTTTTAAACTACAAATTATTTATTTCTCTTTTTTGTGGTGGTGTTGCTTTTTGTGAAATTACGCGCGGAGGTAGATCATATTAAGAGCGAGTTTTACTTCAGGATAGTAAAGGTATATATTACCGAGGACGGGGCTTTGGACTGGGCTGAGAATCAGTGTGTTGCGTGCGTGCTTCGAAGCACGAAAAACGTAGTTTTAAAATAACTTCCATCCTCATTGTCTTTTCTACTTCAAATGAGTCCTCAGGCCACACGCTGAGGCGGAGTTTTTCCTGATGCTGTGCCCATCGCTGGTTTCTCGCCCCGAGTCTGTCGGGGAAACCGATGTTCTCTCCTGTTGGCTTCTTGTTTGGGGCCTTCGGGATTGATGTCACCTTGAGGTCCCCTTTACAGTTCCTCTTACAGTTGCTGCTTGTGAGACCACAGGAGGCATCCTCATGTTTGTCAGGGGTCCTGGACCCCGCCTTTCTGGGAACCCCCTGTCTGTGCTCCGGAGGCCGGCCCCTCACCCACCCTCCTTGCCACCGGGCCACCTGGTGTCCCCTAGCAGCACCTGGGCGGCGTCCCCCCTTGCTACCCGGTCGAGTGGGAGGAGGCGGCCCGGGAGCCTGGGGTCGTGGCCTAGCATCAGTTAGACGGGCCACACCTCGCAGCTGCCTGCTGGGCAGGGTGCGAGGCCCAAGGAGTAAGGAGCAGGCAGGGGGCCAGCAGGGACGCCTTCCCAGGCTCTCCAGTGCCACCCTTTCCAAAGACTTGCCCCTCGTGCCCGTCGCAGTGGCCCGCCGATAGCCAGTGCGGCGCGGCGGGGGGGGTAGGTGGCAGAGCCCCGCTCGGCGCTGAGGAGCGAGGTGGGACTGGCAGCGACGTGACACAGACGCAGGCTTTGAATTCTCCTTACGAGCCGTGTGGGCGAGGCCACCTGAACTTCAGCGCTTCCTGATGTTCCTATTTTTAAGTTGAAACCCAGGCTGTTCCCTGAACACAGGTTTGGTTTGCCCTTTAATTGTAAAGGATTGGGGGTTGCGGGCTGCTCGCTGCGAGGGACACGGGTGGGGGCTGTGTGACGCACCGACGGGAGGGTGCTGTGTCACAGGCGCCTGGTTCCTGAAGCCTCGCGTTCCCTGCGCGTCCCCAAGGAGCTGCGGGGTGTGCCGAGCGCAGGGAGACAGCCGCCTTCCCGGACAGCCTGCGTGATGTGAAGTCACTCTCCAAAAAGCGGTTTCTGGTTAAAGCAGAGCCCGGCCGAGCCTGCTGTCACGTGCGCACCTGGCCCGGGGGGTCCTGCGCTCAGCACCCCCCGGAGAGAGCACCAGAGGGAGGCCAGCAGCTCTGCGCACTCAGCTGCTGAGCAGAAGCCCTTGCCGGCCACCGGACATGCTGGCCGCTCCAAACCGCTGGGCCTCACCCCAGATTGTTCATTTCTGCGGGAGCAAGCTGAGGCAGACAAAAGCGTGTATTTACTAGACAGAAATAGATGTCCCGCTGGACAGCTTTTCTTCCCATTATTTACAGTCAGTTGGCTCAAGACCCCTGGAGCCAGCCTGGACTCTGCCGTGCAGCGTGATGAGCGTGGGTGGGCGGGAAGCACGTGCCTGTTGTGACCTGATGGATTAAGGGCCCTAACATGTGTCCCAGGGAATACGCCGCACCAGGAGGCCCCCCCAAGGCGGGGGCCCAGCGTTTCACCGGGAGGGGGGATGTATCCACCCACGTTCGCTGCTGGTGCTCAGGATGTCCGCGGAGTCTAGTTGGGGTCATTCCTAGGACAGGATGTCGTGCCTGGGTAGCAATTGGTAATATCAGCATGGGTCATGGACCAGTGTCTCTATCCATGAATTCCATCAACCTCCTAGGGCTCCCATGGCTTCTAAAGGTCTCCTGGGGGCCCGCCCTCACCACGCTGCAGAGTGGGTCAGTGTCCCTCTGTGGCTTTTCGGCCTGGATCAGCGCAGACAGGTATGAGATTGATGAGTTCCTGTTGCCGCTGGCCGGGATCGAAAACCATCTGGTTTCACCTACTCGAGGGGACAGTCTACCAAATACAGGGTTAGAGTGAAAACCTATGTTATATTTTGCCAGAGGCTTGTCTTTCCATCTTCCTTGGATTCGTTACTTGGAGGACCACTGGGAAGAATTGTTGAGACGGCATCGTGTAGAGTGGTAGGCTGGGAAACCACGCGCTCTACTTGCTTCTTATATTATTTCGTAACCCTTACTCTGGAAATTAACAAAGTTTACCGTTTCGCTTAGGACTTTCCACTTAGGATGAAATCGTGTTGATGCCAGAAAAAGAAGAATCATACTTGCAAGTGAGCAAGTTCTGGGTTATAATAAGAACCTGTGGTGCTGCATCGTTGGTTTTCCAAGACATCCTGGTGATTTTGCCATCACTTAGCCAAAAATAGGGAATTGCCAGCAGTGGTCGCTGCTGTCTGACTCTTGATCCAGAGTTCAGTGAAGTACAGTTTGCACACNTTAGCCAAAAGTAGGGAATTGCCAGCAGTGGTCACTGCTGTCTGACTCTTGATCCAGAGTTCAGTGAAGTACAGTTTGCACACAAATGACAAGATGTTTAAGCCATTGTTTGGGTTGGTCCTTGGTCTCCTTTGACCAAAACAAGCAGATGTTGCTTCTATCAATCGGCGAGAGCCCAGATCTGTTTCAGCTCAGCTATGTGCGTATTGTTTAACTNCAGTTTGCACAACCCAGCCATTGTTTGTGTTGGTCCTTGGTCTCCTTTGACCAAAACAAGCAGGTGTTGCTTCTATCAATCGGCGAGAGCCCAGATCTGTTTCAGCTCAGCTATGTGCGTATTGTTTAACTTCAGTGTCATTAAGGACGGCTGTGGTCTGCCTTCTAGGTTGTTAGTTGTTTTTTCTCTCCTTTGTCTATCTGAGCCTTTACGCCAGTCATTACTGTTCTCTGCAGATGGCCAAACTCACAGATGTGTTTGTCACTTTTCACACAGATTTCAGCAACGTCCCAGACATCACCACTGGCCTGAAGAGGAGTCAGACCGATGGCACCCTGGACCAGGTTTCCCACAGGGAGAAAATGGAGCAGACATTCAGGGTAAGATGCTGTCCCCACGTCTCACACAAGGACCCGGCGGGCAAGTACTAATTCCTACCTTTACCCGAGGTGGTGAAAAAGAAGAGTTATCCTGTCCCTAGGTCCAGCAATCATTACATTTTCCCCAAAAGGAATAGTTTCCATATTTATTTGGAATGAAGTACTAAGAGGAACCATCAACTGTAGCCAGACCTCCTTCATGAGTTCCTGGTGGGCCACCAAAGAGCCCTGCAGACATGGCCATCCCTACATTAGGAGGGTTCTGACAGGAGAACCTAAGCTCAGGTGTTCTGAAGGACACATTAAAGTACTATTCTGTTCCTTTCATACTTTTTTGTGTGTGTGTGTGAGCGGCCATGTGACACACCCTTTGGTGCCTGGTGACATTCCGTCTATGAAAGGTGGACCAGGTTAGAGCCTGCCAGCTTCAGAGTGGACTCTGGCAGCCTCTGGCTCCTGGCCTCTCCTCTGCTCTGTCACTGCCTTTCCACCTCCCCCACTCCCTGTCCACGTCCTCCAGACTGTCCCTTCTCTTTTCCATTCCTCCTACAAAGCAGATACTCGGCTGTCTTTGCTGGTCTGGTCACATCCCGAGGATGCAGCCTCTTTTACTAAACTGAAATCATCAGCATTTCTAGTTACTCTGCTCTATCTCTGGCAAGTTATTTACTTCTAAAAACCCAATGTTGTAGCTTCTGTTCGTCTGGTTTTTGTTTTGAAATAATAGATACTAGAGCATCAAACAGATGTGTTTTGATTCCTTGGTCTTACATGTTTTATAAAAAGAAAATACTTCTGGAGCACTCAAGAAGCTAGCCTGTCTATTTAAGGTAATTGTGCCTTGGGCCCGCACAGTGGGGTAGCCTGGGGAAATCACGGAGCACCAGTGGGGAGACCGACTTCCTCTCTGTTACAGTCGGTGTAAGTTACACATTAAAGTTCTTAAGGAAAAGATTAAGTTCTTTCCCAAATTCTGTTTAAAGATTCAGTAAAATAAACGTGCAAAAAGTTACCACGTTAATGAACCAGTTACTCTTCCTGACCAGTCACGAGTATAACGTGCTTCCGTGTCCGAACGTTGCTGACCGGTCACGAGATAACTCGTGTCTGCGCTTAGGTTGATTTAAGTAATTTTAAACACCTCGCTGACCAAAGTCGCCCGCTGTGCGGTCGAGTTCTGGCTCAGATAGCTGGTCAGCAAGGTGCTAAGGCCATTTCCAGCTCTCTTGCTTAATAGTACCTATCAGAACGAAACTAAGCTGTTACAAAATGAACATTGGAGCATCTTAGAAATTCAGAAGAGGAGTGAAAGCTGTAGTTGAGCTTGAAGTTGGGGCTGTTTGAACTTTAATTTCCATTGTTAAAATGCGTAAAGGAGAAAGGGAGTGAATACCAAAGAGCTTATTAACCAACAGTGAAAGGGGTATTAGCATGTGAAGCATTTGCTGTCAAATTGCTCTCAGGTCTACAGTAGTTATCTCACCTTTTTCAAATTTGAAGATACCTGTCTGTCTATAATAATGGATTTCAGTACATTAAAAAAATCCTAGTGACACTGGGAGCAGTTACTCAGCTCACACGTTGTTCTTTGTTCCTTAGGAAAAAAGAGTCAGTGACCATCCTAAGTAACAGTTGTGATGGATAATAGTGGAAAGAAAATTTTGAATTTAAGGACTAAACATAATTTTCTGTTCCGTATTATTATTATTATTGTTGTTATTATTAGCATCCTAGAAACATCAGGTTACATCTAAAAGCAGTCTTTTCTGTTTTCCAAATGGTGATTTGGGAGTTTTATCCTGCGTGCCCAGTGTGTGCTGGATATGGATCTTTCTGGGTCACCCTGGCGCTGTCTCATGATGGTCTCATGATGGTCCCGTGATGCTCACAGTAGGTGGTCACTCAGCAGAAAGACCTGCCTCTGTTACCAGGCTTCCCGCTGTGGCCCGTCAGGCCTACTCAGGGGTCATTAACTTCTTTTCAGATCAGACCCTGCTTGAACCTGGGCTGTTTGGGATATTTTACTAACAATATTCTAGACTTTAGAATAAGGAATAATTTCCCTTGAAAATTGAATGCAGCCTGGCTCGAGGAAGCACAGCTGTAAGTGGGGCTTTTGACAGCCCCGCAATTTCTGCAAATGGCTCTTAATTGATTGCTGCCTTCTCCCGCAGGGTACCTATTACTGTCAGGGCTCTTTGTGCGCCCCTGTCAACCTCCACTGTGTGGGGGAGGTGGTTTTCCCCCGTATTGTTGGCGTTAGCTTGCACTACTGTTTGCAGTTTGAAAGGAATAAACAATCTCTTTTGGGGTGAGGGGGTTGAAAGAGTTTCTGGTTCGTTCTGCAAACTTGCGGCGCGTTAAGCAGTCCCCACAGTAACGCTGTGCTCTGCTCTGCGAGCTGGCTGCGAGGAGGTGGCACTTGGTTCTGTCATCTCCGCGTGTGCCCTAGCCAGGTGCCCTCCCCGAGTGGCAGGCTCCCCGGCCTGGGGGAGAGATCCAGAGGAAGGGGGTGAGCCTCCCACACCCTTGGCGCTGCCGGGGAGGAAGAGCTTGGTGGCGCTAGGACGTCCTTGTGAATGTGACTTGGAAGAACATTTGGGATTTTTTCCGTTGCCTGGGGATGAGAGGGAGAGAGGAGTCTTCCTCGCCCCCCTTCCCGGCAGCAGGCTGTAGAGGTAGCCGATCCTCCCGGAGGGAGCAGGGGTCCCTGAACGGCTCCTGTCCGTTCAGCAGGTGAGTAAACGAGGGGTGCCCATTCGGATGCCAGTGTGGGCAGGCTCGCGTGGTTCCGTTCTGTCTTGAAAGTTGACTTTACTCTAAAAGGTGTAAAGACTGTTAGGCAGCTGAGAAGAAATGCCTTCCTTTCTAGAGGGTTCCTGACAGTGACCCTTAAGCAGTGTGGACAGCGAGGGTGAGAGAGTTTCTTTGGATGCTAGTTATTCTGTGGCACGGTCAGCGTTTCCTTCCTCAGTCCAAGGATGCGCAGGTCTCTAACTTGATCTCAGATATCCCTCGGTCTGTCCTTTGAAATGTAAGATACCAGAAAGTCCTAGGGAGGTTTCAAATATTGGCTCTGGAGAAGACGTTTGAAAAGAGAGAGGGATGATTTGGGGACCGTAAGTAATTTTAGGCTTTGTAACATTTCCTCGGAGTGCAGCACGTACTTGTATTGGGCTTAATGCTGGGAAAGAAAATCCACAAACGTGAAACCGTTTTCTATAAGGTAAGCAGTGCTTTTATCGAGTTATGCCCGATGGAATATTTTTCAGCTTTTTAGAAGAATTTTATGTAATCACCTAGTAGCTTTGGCAGCGATTATTTTTGTAGTTTGTGGGCGTTGTGTTGATGGAACAGAGAGCATCGGGAATCTGGAGATGTTCAGCATGATCACTGGGTGCTGTGCTCTTTGCAACTGAACCATGTTGAAGATATATTTTGTCCTGTTTATTTTTTCAAGGTAGAATAAAGGGACCTGCATGAATGGCTATGTTTTAGCTATGCTTGTTAAAGCACAAGCGTAACTTGCATTTAGTAGCTCATGCCTGCTCGCCCACTTAGCTTAACCTTTGGAAAGTTTCACATGAATTGCTTTTAAGAGCTCATTTAGCCAAGAAGCTAAAGAGAAAGATTATTGGGTATTTTTTCCCCCCAGCATTCTCAAATTATACATCTTTCTTACCTTGCTTTGAGTCTCCTGCATTATTTCAAGATCTGGTTGGCTGTAAGATGTTTTTGTTAAGACATAATTTATTTATAAGTAGTAGCCTTTCTACGTGGCTGCTATTCAATAGGTTAATGTAATGGTGATTTTTAAAAATAGAACTAAACATTCCATTTTTGAACGCATGTTATCTGACATAATCCCTATGTGAATGGACAGAGAGTGTGTCCTCTAAGCAAACCCATTGTCCTTGGAAATGACCTGGGATCTGTTGCTCTCCATGAGTGAGANACATGTTATCTGACATAATCCCTATGTGAATGGACAGAGAGCATGTCCCATTGTCCTTGGAAATGACCTGGGATCTGTTGCTCTCCATGAGTGAGAGTCATTGTCACAGGGTTTAATTGTAGGCAGCCTTTCCTCCTAGGCACTGGTACCACAGAAAGAACTCTTGACCTGATGGCTGGAACCTGAATCTGTATCCTGGTCCACCCGGCCTTCCCACTATGTGACTTGGGACAAGGTCCCCAACTTTTCTAAGCCTCTGCACCCTTGTCTGTAAGTGAAAATAACAATAGCTCCAACCCCGTGCTGTTCAGAGGACCAGGCATGACTGGGAGCACAGACACAAGAGATGATTAGGCCCCGGGAGCCTCATGTAAACACGCGTCTGCGTGCTTTCCCCTCGGCTCACCCGGCACACGACTTCACCATCCAGCTGCCTACGTGTCCCCTTGAGGTTGAGTGCCAGTGGTCAGATCCTGCTGAGGCGCCCCGGGAGATGAGAGTGAATTGCAAACCAAGGGCCTCTGCAGTTGAGCCCTCTTAGCTCTGTGTCATGTGCGCGGAGACAAAGCCCGCCCACCTTTGAGCTGATTTTTCTTGGGCCGTGTGTTGTGAACCGATGACCCTGTGTAAGGGCTGTGCCCGGTGACCGAAGGAAGCTAGTGTGTGTTAGATGCGCGTTCACCCGTGGCCGGAGTGGGCTGTGAAGGCTGCGGGGCTCGGGAGGCTGGAGAGGCTTCGGGTCTCGCAGACGTGCAGCTCTTGGCAGAGAGGTGTCAGGCCAGGACCTCGCCAGGCGCCAAGGACACGGGCCGGACTGAGCCTGAGCTGTTTTCCACCAGCTCCCAAGTGCTTTGTTCTGCTTTTCTAGCACCATGGTTCCCCTTGCCAGGGACCTGGTGGCAGTGCTGTGGGCTCGGTGGAAGTGACCGTGCTTAGTTTTCATTGGTGTCTGTCTGAGAGGCCATCTGATCTTTGTGGTCAGCTGGATTGTTTTGATTTCCCAGTTTCATAGCTTCAGGGTTAGTCCTTCCTGGTCCATCCTAGA